GATTTGGAATATAAGTACATGGTAGGAAGGAAGGGATAATTAGGAGGGAGAATGAGAGTATGTGAAAGAGAAGAAAAGCATGTATGTAATAGATATTAGGATTGTACAATATGTAGTTTGTAATTGTATATACAAGGTGAAATTGGCAGCATTCGGAATACAAAATATCTTATGTATAAAATATAATATTAAGTACTAATAATACAAATGTTTATGTATGTGATAAGATTTATAAGAAAGCCGATGGATAGATTGTATAACCAATTAGGATCTCAGCATAAGTTAGGATATAAACAACATACACCCATACTTCGTAAGTAACACCAAAATCACTCAGCTCTGTATCAAAAAGTAATTTTTTATATAAGTTCCCACGAACGCACATCATCTCCAATAGAACACGAATTTTAGCAAACTTACTACGACTAACGATAGCGAACATTTAAACTGGTTGTACATAAATAATAACGAAATGAGAAAATAAATGGCTGAAATAAAAGAGACACTTGATGTTGTTAAATAAGGGAGGAAGAGAGTGAGAGAGAGAGAGAGAAAGAGGGGGGAGAGAATGAGTGAGGGAAAGAGCGATTGTTAATTGAGCGTTAATTGCGTTCATGTACCTACATTTCCTTCTTTCGTTATATGGACGGCGCTAGCTCGTAAATTTACTTTGGTATTTATGTTAAATATAATTTTTTATAAATAAATCGAATTAAAAATGATCGTAAAGCGCTACAGTGAGTTTCAATTTTTCCAATCTTGTATAATATAGTCTGTTAGTAAAACATAAAAAAATTTGAGATATACGAAGTTTTTTGACAACCTTAGTTTTCTTTTTATTAACTATTTAAAGATATTATCAATTATTAACGTAATTGATACTGCACAAAAAATCAATTTTTTACTCAATTTTTTTACGATAAAGAGTGCATGTTATTTGCAACTTTGATCGATTATACATATACATACATACACATATATATAAAAAAAAATATATATATATATATACACACATATACATATTTCTCTACTTATTTAACAACATCAATCTACAATATATATAGATTACCTGTCCTGTTATTAATCATCAGAAATAAAGGAAAATAACAGGTTCATTATGATATTTGAACTAACATTAACGTGCAGATGTGAATACAAGAGTTACTACAGGTTATTCATTGTATATGCATGAGGAATTAACTTTCCTAGTTTGTAATATTTTGCATGTTACATAATACATGTATGTAAAACGGAAAAATATGTGGAACAGAACGCGATTATAAGATATCTGTACAGAAAATCGCTATTTCGTATTTGGCAGTAGTTTCTTTTCCCTAAGTTTTGCTATGCCGAAAATAGTACAGATGCAAAAAAAAGATCACGCACTGTGTATTATACTATTAATATATATTTAAAAGGTATGGTACATTATATTATAATCTTCACGAGTATATGCTAAGGTAATTTTAAGGTTTAATTAATAACTAAAATGAAAAAAAAAAAAAACGATGTAGTGGTAGTGTTTTATTGCGAAACCTCCACCTCCTTCCTATTGCCGTTGCATGCGCGAAATCCGCAAAGCGATCGGATTTCTAGAAATGGATTTTGTCTAGAGTTAATTACGTTTTCTCACACGATTACTCTTCTTGCTGCGATACCTTGCAAACCTTTCAGAAACCGTTCAGTCGTTACGAAATATCGAATTATGTCTGAAGAACACGCATAGACGTTTAAGGCAAATAAAGTAGCATCGAGCTAACTGCATGCGTCTTTTATTGAATGAAACTTATAAAACTCGCAATAAAATCTTGATTCAAACATTGTATTGTTTATTGAAGCGATGAAACTCCTTCAGTCTCAGAGCCTGCGTGCGGATAAATCCAGTGGCGTCCGTCGGCTCGAAATCACCTTGCACGTCCATGGAAACGAGAGTCTGGTTATACAACGAGACCTCGCTCGATCTGGCGATCGCCATAGCTGTAAGAGGAAATGATATCCCTTTAATAACCATAGACATAAAAAATAGTCATGTTTATGCTAAGTATATGACACTGTCCAACGATAAATTTTGTGGTTCTAATTAAATTTCACGCAAATCTACCAACCCTTTCCCTTATACAGCTGCAGTCTCACTGTGCCGTTTACATATCTTTGCGAATGCTGGATGCATTCGCGTACGAAGTCGCATTCCGGCGAAAACCAAAAACCTGCAAAGCATTTTTTTTCATTAATTTAATCCACTTTGTTTAGAGATTATACTTTCACAGTTTTTATATTTTATCTTATAGTTTTATATATATATATATATATATATATATATATATATATATATATATATATATTGCGCTTTCGCGTATCTGACTACCGTTATAAACGTAATCCGACATCTTGTCCGTCAGATACGATTTGACCCTCAGAACCTCGCGATCCAAGATGAATACTTCGAGGTCTCGATGCGCGATCTTCAAAATGTTGACGCCCGGCGACTCGTAAATGCCTCGAGACTGAAATGTTTGGACAAATTGTCACAATTAATTTATGCGCTCGTACAGTTTATTTCATAAGAAATATACCTTCACTCCGATGTAACGATTTTCCACAATGTCTATCCGCCCGATACCGTGCGCACCACCGACCTCATTGAGATACTCGATTATTGCAAGAGGAACGTTGAACATTTTCCCATCTTTTAAACTCTTCACGTTAATCGGGTGTCCAGTCTTAAAAGTAATTTCAATTTCTTCCGCTTCCAAGGCGGAATCGGTTGGATCAACGGTCATTTTATAGAGCCCTTTCGGCGCTGGAACGGCAGGATTCTCTAATATCCCTGATTCGTAACTACAAATTAGGAATATGAGATTACTTATACCATTTTAATATTCTTTTCATGCTCTCTATAACAAGAATTAATACGGGCCCATATTATACCTAATGTGTACGAGATTAGCGTCAGTGCTCCACGGTTCCTTCGGCGTTGCTGAGATCGGAATTCCATTTTGTCGTGCGTACTTTATCAAGTCCGGTCTTCCTTGGAACTTCGTGTAAAATTCGACTTCTCTCCACGGAGCTAAAATCTTGATAATCTTTTATGTCATAACTAGCTTCTGATATAACTGTCATGTTCTAATACGATTGACTACATTTTTGTGCTTGTAAAACAAGAGTACGTTTCCGCGAGAATCAAGAATCTAAAAAGTAAATTTCTCTTATTTTTATCTTTCGGTCATGCTTTCGACTCCTTCGATATTTCTTATATTTTCTTCTATTTCTTGTAAAATAATTGATGAGTACCGTGATTCCAGGATACAGGCTGTAGCAACTCAACTCAAAGCGAACTTGATCATTTCCTTTTCCAGTTGCCCCGTGCGCGATGACATTGGCACCTTCAGCCTTTGCGACTTTTATTAAACCCTGGCTGATACATGGTCGTGCTGTGGCAGTGCCCAGAAGATATCTTCCCTCATACAACAAGCCACAAGCCACAGCAGGCCATACGTAAGAAGTTACGAATACTTCTCTAACATCGTCTATCACGACCTTGTAAATAATCGAATTTATTATATATTATGCAAATTTTTCAATGAAAGGCCGGAATTTGTTTGTTTCGTTATAAATATGAAATTTATTGCGTAAGGATATTTCTAATATCTTTATATCATTTTGTATTATAAAATGTTAGGCAAAAAGATAATTTTTACCTTGGCGGCACCAACTTTGAGCGCCTTGTCTCTAATTGCATCGAAATCCTCTTTTTGCCCGATGTTCGCCTAAACAAATCACAAATTCTTATGTCTACTTGCTGCAGAAAGGATTTACATAGTTATTACAAAATTTCTTACCACATAAGCGATGACTTGATATCCCTTTTCTTTTAACCACAACAATATGCAAGAGGTATCCAAACCACCGCTATACGCTAGAATTACTTTTCCTTTCGACTCTGACATTTTTTACAGCTCCGTTTTTCAACAGAAATTAGAAAACGTTAAATTAATGGAAAGAAGAGGACAGCTGGTAACAGTATTTACTAAAGTCCGCTGCGTTTCGGCTTTAAATGGAGTTAGTTTTGTTGACCTCGGATTACTGATAACCTTCGGAAACTCAAGCTGTAATCAGCGTATCAAGATATTTTTAAATAAATTTTCACATCTAAACAGATTTTTTTCTATTATATTTATCATATTCTATTATAATTTGTGTTTAATTGGCGTAGATGTGGTGGTGTAGTAATAATTAAAAGGAGACTCAAGATAGAGCGCATCATAGGCCTTTATAAGTAGAACACTGCTCAGACTATAATCTACATACATATATGTAACAGGATATACTTTATAAATATCGTTTAACTTTGTAATAATCTCTCCACTAGTAGATCGCAACATTTATTGACATCACATTAATAATTTTTATCGTTATTATTCATCAACAACCGTAAGCTTCTGGTTGAGAGAAAGCGCTTATTTATCACAATCGCGAGGCGGTTGCGATAATCTTGCGATACGTACATACATACATATTGGTATATTATATTTATATCTGTATTATATTCAACACAAAACTAGTCACTAATCGAATTTGTCAAAGAGAGCTGAACATTGTATATCGTGAATATTACATAATACATACTTATATGAATTACATTAAATGTAGCATCTGAATTGGCAATCGGTTAACTGAAGCGTAGAGTGTGTAAAACGCTAAAAGTACAGATAAATAAGTTAACAAAGGGAAAACAATTATATTCTCGGGCTGTATACATCTAGCGATTTTATTTTACATTCAATACTATTAATTAGTAGATTTAAGTAATAATAATATTGAATAAATAACTGTATCGCTCTTACATCGATGATACAGTTGAAAGGAATAAAGCGAAATACGACATGACATTTAGATTTGACATTTCTATTATAATAGAATTTTTTTTAGAAGCAGTAAAAGTATGCTCGACGAACGAAAACAATCTACATTTAAGATGTTAACTTGAACACGAGGGAAAGATAAAATATTATTAACAACGAGAAATATACAGAAATATCACGATTCTTCTCTATGACGCACATAGATCTTCACAAATTCCTTTTTATTACCGATAAAGAATAACGATCGCGAATATATCTCTAGAGCTTCGCTAAAGGCTCGATACCATTATACAGCTTCGTGCGATCTATATCAGTACTACCAAAGTGTCTCATACGATCTTTGATGATTACATGTATTCGCGCAGGCACTTGATAACTCGGTCTGATCAAGACTCTTCGTGCTCAATTAATACACGAATACTTTCATTGTTATTCAACTGACAACGGGACTTGCTTGATATTTCCGGAATGAGGCACCCTCGTTTAAAAAATTGACTCTGTGTTTGTTATTTAGTTAAATACTTTAATTTCATACTCGAGATCATTTATGGCTTCATAGCTGGTATTACTGATGGAATTGAAGCTAATGGCAAATTAGAAATTCAGGAATGTTATCTCTTCTGTTATAGATAAACGATCGTTTAGACGTGTAGTTTACTCAAGTCGTTTAGGAATGACTTCGGTGTAATTATATGGGATGAACCTACAACAATACGTAAATATTTCATAATCAGTGAATAGATTTTCAATCGTATTTTGACAAAAAATTATTTTTCCATATTTAAATGGAAGTTGGATATAAAAAATTCTTACCAATTATGACTTCCCAATTTTTTAATGCGTTCGTTACTTCGTATGCACATCGTATTTCAGAGTAGCACACTCCACCAACTATAAAAACGATCAAACGAGGAACGTTTTTGATGGTCTGTTGACCTTTGTCTTTGTGCCAGTGGCCATATCGTGCGCTGCAAGTTTACATAAATATTTTCAGAAACCAAATAACACAACAAAAGATTTAGACAAAGAGAAAAATATTATTACTATATACCTGGTTGGTGCATGATATCCTGAACTGGCTGCACGTCCGGCAAGGAATGGAAAATGTTTGGTTTCAAGTTTATCCTCGATGGAATCCTCCATAACGTCCTTGATAACTGGAGTCCAACGGCTCATTTGGTAGGTTTGCTCCGTAATTCTTTCTTTACGTGGTACGGTATATAATTTTTTGCGATTGCTCTGTAAAATGGCATTGCAAATAACAAAATTAAATCACCGTTTAAAATGTTATTAAAAACCCAATATAAAGTATAATTTGCAACTTTTTAACTTACATCTACAACAACATTGATCCCGAGATTTGCCATATTGACGATAGTCTGTTTATCATCAACAGATATTTGGGCATGATGAACCAAACGGTTAAGATTCTCATCGGTGATACCGTTTTTGCTGATAACATATAAAGCTATAATACGTAATTTATCCAAATGATTCACAGTCTGATCAAGTAAAATCGGTGTGATATTCCTCATATGATCTTTAATACGTTCACCTTCTGCATCGGTACCCATGGCTAAGTCCTAAAACACGGCCGAAATACTTGTAACTAAAAAAATATCTTTACTAACTGGATTATGGGTATTGATTACAATATTACATACTTGCTCCACTTTACAAAGCTTATCTACATTTCCTTGATAGCGTTTCATGCAATCTTCGGCTAATTGTAAATGTGTGGCATATTTGCTCAGTTCTTTTTGATATTGCGGCATCTTTTTGATCATCTGCGACAAGTCTCGCATACTCTGCTTATCACCTTGCGGCATTCTTTTTGATTCTGTAAACTTTTTCAAATTTTTAGTCACGTTCCTGAAAAATAACGTTTTATTGTTACAATATTCTTTTTATGGTTATTAATCTTTTAGAAAATTTGAGACTTATATTTATACGTACTGAGATACTACGGCAATATGTTGATGCCTGAGTTCTACCCATAAATCATCATTTTCATCCAACAATACTTCTTTTTCCTGACCTGCTGTTGCCTCAAACCTGTTTAATATTAATATGGCATTTAAGTCTTGCTTTAAATTTTTATTTGCAATAAAGTCATTTTAAATTTATAATGACTTTACTTACTTGTAGACATCATTATCAATGTCCAGCAAGTCATATGCCATGGCTTGCAGTGTAAGTTCATGTAACAGAGGTGAGACGCAATCAAATCCTCTATCTAGAATCAATAATTGAGAACGTGCTTTCTCAGGTCCTTCTCCCATTGTTGGTTCATCAGCTTTGTATGCGTCTAGCTTCTGCTGCACCATTTGAGCGAGTTCAACATTGCGATCAAAGTCACTACAATACATATTAATATTTATTTCATGTTATCAATGATTACGTAATTATATTCTTAAATCAACAAGGAGAGAAGTAACAAGTTATTAATATTTTTACGTCGCATTTAAAGATCGAAATTACCTGCGATATCTAACTGATGGATATTCTCCAAGAGTGGCACAGAGTGTCGCGATTTGTTCGGCAATACGCTCCATATTAGCTGATCTCAAATTAAAGAAGGAGGGGTTGTAAAAGCAAGCGAAAGTTTCACGTGAGTCCAACGAGAAGACCTAAGAAGACGGCAGATTTAGTTTTGGGATATTCTCATCACAACAAAAAATGCGAATTTTATTGCAAAATTTTATACTTGAAGCAAAATAAATAAGCATGCTAATTGACTTTTCGACTTCCATGCTGATTTTCTAGACATAAGCTCTCAAGTGGGGCGAATGACTCGCACCGAGTAAATAAGTTATTATATCTTCTTGAAAATTGTATATATATTATGTATTTATTTATCTCAAATAAAAGCTTATAGCTTAAAAATGAATAATAAAAATCCACAAACATTATCAAAATTGTCTAGCAAAATTATTTAAAAAAAATCATTTCTGAGGCGAATGATTCGCCCCGCTTGGAAGTCGAAAAGTTGAACTTCGAAAATAATGGGCTATGTGGATAATTCGATTAGTGATCACATTACAAGCATGTACAACACATAGATATTTTTTTGTCGAAAGGAAAAATGATGTGAAGAAGATTTTCCTCAACAAGAAGTTTATCGCCTGGTCTATTGCAATCTAAAATTAACTGATAATCCGGAAAAAAGAAGAGAAATCTCTTAAACTCATGAATGCTCAAAGACTGAAAACAAATTTCGCGCTCTAGAGCTACAACTAGCGTCTATTAATTTCGTCTGCTTAATCGTCACCTGACATTCGTACGGCAGGAATGCGATGTTGATCTCTTTGAGGGTTTTAATCTTTTTAGCGGCAAGAGACTTGCAGATTTCATTGAACAGCTCCTCCTGGCATACTGGCATCAATTGCAAGCATGAATGCATTCTGATTATTAGTATGTGCTTGTTCATAAGTCATGTGAAAGGCTCAGGATGGACTGGATAGATTGGATGAGAGGATAACGTTGTATTAATATCGTGTCCCGATTGACATCCGGTTGATCCGTGCGACTAAATTTACGTGAGGCCGAGAAGTGAACGTAGAACGCGTGAATAAACAATTGTTTTACAATGTGTATACGTGTCTCTCTTTCTCTATGTATGTGTGTGTATATGCCCATCACCATCACCACGAAGGACGAAACGATTAAACATTTTTCTTTTCATAATGTTCGTTGCTTTACCTGCTCTTCGTATGGTATGAAAGCGATGTTGATCTCTTTTAGTGTCTTTATGTGCTTAGCTACCAGCGAGTGACACAATTCTTTGAACAAGTCGTCAGGGCATGCTGCAAAGAGATATACTGAGTATGTCGAACCACGAGAAATTTAAAAAAAAAAAAGATCAAACCGACTAATCTTGTACGATTGTTCTTCTCAAAACATCAGAATTTTTTAACTTATATTTAATGATAGAATCAATAGACCCGCATCGTTACGCTGTATTTTGATGGTTACATTCGCATAGAAACCTGCTGTGAGTGAGTAGGATGAATAGGGATTTAATTCGATGAATGTCGAATAACTTTAGCAAAATATTTAAGATGCTTGATAACATCATTACTTAATATATATTTAAAATATAGTAAGAGTTAAATATTAAAAATGATTAATATCGGCAATAGCTAAAATATCTTTCGTTATATTTAGATTTGAGTAAATATTAATTTAATTTCATATTAAGTTATATTGAAGTAATTTGCGCATACTGTAAATTGTAAAATTACGATCAATAATTCTATATTCATTAAGAATTACTTCTAAAAAAACATCTACATTTCTTTCAGTTATTTTTGTATTTTACTTCGATAGATATTCTACGAAATATTGGATAGTTTGGATTCGTCGTTGGAAAAGGGAGATATCCTTAAAACGAGAATAGAGAATCAATTGTGACAAATATGTACCTTCCGTGAAGTACACGTGGGCGACTTTGTAAGTGGTTCTTGTCGGGTTACTGAAATCTTCGATCAATTTCTGCACCGACGAATTACAAGGCGTGATGAGGTAAATGGCCTCCATCGTCGGCAGAGGTTCGCGCTTCTTATTGATATCCTCTACCAGAGTGATACCCTGAGCGCTGATATCGTGCATCTTGCAGCAGGCAGACACCATTCTCATGGCGAGCTGATCCACCACCAAGATCCGCCATTCTGTTGACCCTGTTGACTTCTTCTTTTGCTTGATCACCTCGTTCATAATCTCTGCGACGTGAGAGAATTAATTACTCAAATGATCAATTCTTAGAGAAATGTGAGCTTATATACTGTATTCTCTCTATCCGAAGGTAGGATAATAACTTCATCTTGAGCAACAAGGCAAGAACTAAGTAATTGAAACGACTATTAATTTTACATCCCGCGGTATTTAGAATATAAAATTTGAATTAGTGAATTTTATAAGCTGTATTTTTCTCTAACAGAAAATTATAAGATGTATTTCTTTACTGTAACTACATATAAAAGTGTGTGTGTATGTGTGTGTGATATCATAATACATAATAGAAGAGAAATCAATACTTTGGTAATTATATATTCCTCTCGCATGGAATACATATTGCGTGTTCCGTTTGTAAATCGAATAAATAGATATTAAAAAAAAAAAATATCTTCATAAAGATAAGTATTGCAGCTATCGACGTGCTAGTTTTCAAGTAAGATTTTTTAATTAAAATAATATAATCAGATTGCAAATCAAAAATGAACTTGTAATTTTCTTTCAACATCATTTTATTCAAGAAATCGTTGGGGAAAAAAATCAGAAATCAGGGGAAATTAATCGTAATGCTAACGACAATGACCAAGCGCCATTAACTTCATACGAGTCATTGACAGCGCGATGATTGATAAATAATTAACAATGCTGTGACGGACTAGGAAGTCCTTTGACGTTCCAACACGTATATTGATCGTCTTTACAGATGACGTCACTGCGTACAGGCACGTATCAACGAAGTGGCAAGCCCCGTTTTTTTATATTCTCTCAAGTGAAACAATCGGCTATTTATAGGTGTACGAGACGCGCAAAAAAATCTTCCTTAATCCATAGTTCAGAACAGCAAACTTCGTGGCCTTCGACGTTGTTAACGATGGAAAAAAGACTTTCGTCGGATCATTTTATTTAAAAAACAAACGAGGTTTACACGAAAATAAGATAAGAATTAGTTATTTTCTGAAATAATTGTGTAAATAATAGACAAATAAAAAATATAAGCAATATTGTGCTGTAGCAGCTGTAGATATTGCGTCTATCAAGTAAGTTTGTTTTACGGAATTCTGCGATATATATCGACAATATAAATTATAAAATAATAATTCAATTTAATATTTTCACGTTTTCAAAAATTAAATATAGATATAACATAAAATAATGTTATATGGTACATTGATTTGTATATTTGTTTTGCAAATGCCAATACGTTTAGAAACGCAATAGCGAATAAAAATGGACATCGAGTTTCATTTACGCTTCTTCGGCAAAATATCTTGAAATCGATACGGTCTGAAAAGTGCTCTGAAAAAGCAACAGTTATTTCGAGGAAGCTGCGCCGTAGAACTGCGATCGAAAACATCAGGCAGCGCTCATTGCCGAATGAATATTTCGCGTGCGGATTTTTAGTAAAATGAGCACGATAAAGCAAATGTAACTGAGGTTTTTTTTCTCCAAATCTTTCATTGACGAGATTAATCATGCGCGCCTACGAATAATCGTTGCGAAAATATTCGCGAAGATTCCCACGAAAGTGTTTTCCATATTTTCCACGGTTATCCCTCGATATTCGTCGATCGTATCCTGGCAAATGCCGGGAGTTAAAACCTGCAAACCAGCAACTGAGAATCAATAATAATACTGATAAAAGGCTTTCTTGATATCGTAGGCGGGAATGATTTTTGTGTTTAGGCGCGATAATCGACACGCGACGATTGACGTCGTTGAAGGTGCATCCTTCGTACTCGTGTCATCGAGGCTCGAATTAGTCGATGTCGATGGTTTACCGATTGCGAGGTGTACCGAATTCTCGCGAGACGCGACAGAGATCGGAGATATTTTTCGCCGAGCATGCTCCCGCTGCGCTCGGCGTAGAGACGTTTGACATTTCTCCGTCGCCCAGCCGTCGCCGATGAAATCATCGGGGGAGGAGGCGCGTACGCCCAATCGAGATTGATCTCTCAACGTGACCGCGAGATCGGCAGGCGCGAGATCGACGCGATCGAGACGTCGCGCGAGTCGCCTGACGATGTCGCGCAACGATGTTTACAAATAGATTCTAATGACGTACGAAATTAACGCTTTTTTTACGCTACTCACTTTGACCGACTTGTGCCTTGAGCGCCATTTTGCAGGACTGACTGTCGGCTCGTTCGCCAGATGGCGACGCGAGCGGCGCGATGTTGTGCGCAGTGATAATCTCACGAGTATCACGCGAAGTTGGCCGAGGGTCCACTTTGGTTCACTTCGATCGGCACCTGCGCGATACGGCCGCGCCTCCGCAGCCTCCGCTTCGTGTATTTCCAGATAGCACTAATCATTTCTATGAAAATGTTCTATGAAAAATCTTCAAATATATTATCACAAATATAATTATCATCAATTAAATTTTGAATCTTCCACTAGCATTACAAGGAAAAAAGATCTATTGCTACCTATGATGTACAGAACAATAAATTTCAAAAAAAATTTTATAACTTCTTTGAAGTTATTTCATCTGTTGCCAATTGATCTAA